CTTTGATCCCATTCATAAAACCCAGCTTTTTGCCCTGGTACTTGAGAGAGCTTAGAAGCATTTTCTGTGAACAATTCCTGGACCTGCCTCGTCATACTCAGCCTTGGAGATCCACATCTAATGAGGACATACACATTACAGATATATCAGCATTTGAATAAATTTGCAGCTTTTAAAAATGGAGAAATTGAAAATCCGGTGGAGATTTACCTGCTGGAATGTGCTGAGGGAAGCAAGAATGGAACCACCGATCCAGACACTGTATTTCCTCTCGGGTGGTGCAACGACCTTAATCTTCATGCTGCTTGGTGCAAGTGCTGTGATCTCTTTGCTCATACGGTCTGCGATACCTGCGAACATAGTGGTACCACCACTGAGAACAATGTTACCGTACAGATCCTTCCTGATATCCACGTCACACTTCATGATCGAGTTATAGGTGGTCTCGTGGATTCCAGCAGCTTCCATTCCCACAAACGATGGCTGGAACAAGACTTCTGGGCACCTGAATCGCTCAGCACCGATTGTGATCACTTGTCCGTCGGGTAATTCGTAGTTCTTCTCGATGGAGGAGCTGGTTTTGGAAGTCTCCATCTCCTGCTCGTAGTCCACAGCAACAAAGGAAAGCTTCTCCTTGATGTCTCTTACAATTTCCCGTTCTGCTGTGGTGGTGAACATGTAACCTCTCTCGGTAAGGATCTTCATGAGGTAATCAGTAAGGTCACGACCAGCAAGGTCAAGACGGAGGATGGCATGGGGAAGTGAGAAACCCTCGTAGATTGGCACGGTGTGGGACACACCATCACCAGAATCCAGCACAATACCTGCTCAAGAAAGATAATCAGAACTCGATTCCAAATGAACTAGAGAAAGAAAAAAAAAGCCTAAAATGTACTAACCGGTAGTACGACCACTCGCGTACAGGGAGAGAACAGCTTGGATGGCAACATACATGGCTGGAGAGTTGAAGGTTTCGAACATGATTTGGGTCATCTTCTCTCTGTTAGCCTTTGGGTTAAGAGGAGCCTCGGTAAGAAGAACCGGGTGCTCTTCAGGAGCAATACGAAGCTCATTGTAGAAAGTGTGATGCCAGATCTTCTCCATGTCATCCCAGTTGCTCACAACACCGTGCTCAATCGGGTATTTCAAGGTAAGAATACCTCTTTTGGATTGTGCTTCGTCACCAACATATGCATCCTTCTGGTTCATCCCAACCATGACACCATGATGTCTTGGCCTACCAACAACACTCGGGAAAACAGCCCTGGGAGCATCATCACCGGCAAAACCAGCCTGTAATCAAACATTTGTAGTTTAGTTTCTAAGCAAAAAAAAAAAAAAGAAGATCCAGGAATCTGAAAAAAGGTATAAGAGACTAACTAACCTTCACCATTCCAGTACCATTGTCACAGACAATTGGTTGAATATCATCAGCATCAGCCATTTTTTATAAGCTGCAAAACATAGAGAGATGTAAAAATTAACCCTGATTGAATCAAATAACAAACACCTAATCAATCACAAGTATGCTTCTACTCAACGTATGACACTACAAGATCCAAAAATTGATAATCCTGCAAATTCAATACATCTATGAACAGAGCGGAGTTCATAAGAAAATACAATCCATTCTCAGATCGATATATTCCAAAATCAAACTTCATCTAAACCTAAACAGTTCAGATTTCAATCGACATCTACAAATCGTTCCCAGGAAAACAAATCTGAAAATGGATCTATCACTATTCAGATTTCAGATCAAGAGAAACTCCGGTCGCTAAATATGATCGGTCAACTGAAATCGATTACCGCAAAACCAAATGATTTGATATAGTTTCATAGATCCATATTCAACCAATTCCAGATCTCTAACGAAATTCGAAAAAACAAGATCGAGATCCAAACAGATAAAGTAGATCCAGAAACTTTTGGTTTTTACCTTTGAAGGAGAAAAAGATCGAAGAAGATGAGATCGAGGAAGAAACAAAGAACCAAGGCGATCTACAGAGAATAGAAGAAGCCTGGG